GCATACATATCCTTTCACAGCAGTGACACTCTATAAACAACTTCATCTATCCACAGGACAATCCACTACTGACTTGGTAGTCACCAAGTTATTTCATTGCTTTACAAAACACTCAGAAATGAAGCCAGTGCTGAGTAACCATCTGATTCCTCAGAAACTGAACCCCGTTCTTATTCTTCTGGGAGATATATATGCTTTGTATCATTTGCAAGGGGTTAGGCTGCTCAAAAACTGAATCTGAAGTGAGTCAAATTCACCCTTCGCAACTTCTGTATTACAACCCTGTGTGACTTATGCTGAATGTACCATAGCTTTGTGCAACATAGCACAATTCAAAGCACCTGCGTCAGGCAAGTGTGATTTTTTAATGTAGATGTCCCAAGTCTAGTCACAAGAGGCATGTGTCTCATGGTGTGGGCCAACAGAAGCCAGTATTCTTGATGCAGGGAAGGATGAACACACTCCCTCCCTTCTGCAAAGCTTCTACCTTGTTATTTTCTCCTAAGTGTACCTGGACCAAAAGCCAAGGAAAATTGTATCATCCCCTGTTGTACCACTTAAAGGAGAAAACTGAGAAGAGATACAGGGTTTGCTGTGTTACTGTAATTGTACTCCTAGAAGAAATTTCTCAGGAGCTGCTGAGACCTCCTCCCTAAGGCCTTTCTGCTGTGGAAATCTCCTGTCTTTGCCACAGGAATTCTTATTGGTACTTACCTGCTCCCAGCTAGCAGCAACACTTTTGCAGTGCTAAGACCTTTTCCCACCAGCTCCTTTATAACCTCCTGAATGATCAGTGCTCCCATGAAGGCATATTCATCTGGAAGAGATAGCTCAGTGTCAAGAAAACTGTTTCTGGTCCAGGCTAAGAATTTTGTTTCCTCTCCACAAATGCCTAAGAACCTTATGAAGGGATTATGAACCTAAAACCAGGACCATTTTCTCCCCCTGTATCAAGTACATCTAAAAAGAGATACACCTCCCTGTATGAAACTTGCTTCCCTGAAAGAAAGTGAATAGAGAGTGAACAGAATACACAGAAACACAAGCATACCTTCCTACAACAGTGTGGGGAATCAGCAAATCTAAGAGAAGGAAAACGAGAAAGAAGGTGCAGGGACTCTTTCTCTATGATGATGAATACGCACACCTTCCTACCACCTGGAATCTCAGTCCTAACTTGCTGCATCCCTTTCTTCCCAATTCATAAAGCCACTTCAGACAAGCAATGTTTCACAAAATGTTACACCTACAGAAACCGCTACTTCCTCGCACCACTGAAAGACAGCCATGCCTGCTGAAGTGGAACTGCTACATAGCAACAACCATAGGAGGCTACGATGAAGTGAAAAGGCCCCTTAATGTGACAAAAACTTTATCTGTGGTATCCACGAGTGGTCAGTTTCTCAGTGTAAGAGTCAGTGAAAAGAGACATCGAGTGACACAATGTCTGGTTTAAGGCCAGAACTCACAGACCAACTCAAACAAAAGCATTAACCTCCCGCGTTTTCAGTGCCACATCACGGAGCACCTTAGGCCAAATCCGTTTGTTCACAGCAGCGTCCATCAACAGTAACTGCATTCTGGTCAAAGAAAACTCTTCATGAACAAATGAGAGAACTAAGCCCTTGGTGTTTCTATAGACATTACTGCACCCAGACACTAATCCTGCTTAAATTGGTAAACCCAGAGAAGTACATGAGGTAGAACAATTCATCTGCATGAAATCCAGCTTAATCTGGAAGAGGACTCCTTTAAGCAGACTCCCAAAGTTCCATCATCATCAAAATGACAGCCGATGGCAATGCATGTATTAAGATGAACTGTTCTTCATTTCCCCAAAAAACCTGCAGACAGCTTTTAGCCTGACACAACAGCTCCTTTCAAAGGCCAAATAGCCTGCTGGTAGAAGTCTGAAACTAAACTCACTGCACTTGCCTCTCAGATCATCAAAGCCAAAGTCGCATGCAACAAACCACGGTTCCTCAGCTACACCATTTAATTTGCTGTGTGCTGGAACCTGGAGATTCATCTAAAAGGAATTTAATTCCTCTAATCCTTGCATACTGCATCAGCGTAACATCTCTGCAAGTAGTGGCTCTGAAGTATGTCAAAACAGCCTGAGCTAAAGAGATCAGGATGTTTTATCTGGAAGTAGCTTGATATTCTTTCCTGCCCTTCAGCAAGAAAAAGCCTGTTCTTCATTCATGTAATTTCACAGAAATCTGGCCATATCCTTTAATGTGTGATGTCTGGGGCAGCAACAGCCCGTCAGCAACACTTACTTTTCTCAGACTTGGAAGAGGCACCACTCCAAACATCACTTGAGCAATAAGGGATGAATCTGTAAGAGAGTTGTGTGAGTACTGATGTTCCTTTGACATGCAAGGAGGGGTGAGGATAGGGTCAAGTAACTGGAAGAAAATTAAACCCCAGGGAGGGGAAAAGGGAAGAGTTTCTTGTCTGGTTAGACAACTTACCTTCTTGCACACCAAGTGGCAATTGTAATTGTTTTAAAATTTCTTGTGAACACTGGTAGTTTTACCGAGTTAAATCAATAAAATGTCTCTTTTATCAATTTAATTGAAGCACTGAGCTCAGTGGACAGAATGATGGGTCAAGATTTTGCTCTTAGCTGTCCCACTGAGACAGTGGATGGCTTGCCACAGAGCAATTCTGTTTCTGTTTTTCACATGAAAAATTAGAAGACCTTGTCAATGCAATGTAAATGCTGACTGCAACCGCTGGAGGTTTTTAAAGGAATGAAGTTATCTCCCCATTTTTGTCCCTGGCTTGCAGAATACAAATTAACATCCCTCTCCTTTGCTTCTCCCTCCTATATAGGTGCATATATAAGCTGCTATATTTCTAATTTCCCTTCTTTGAGCTAGGAGAGCTGCTCCACATTCCTCTCAAATTGGCGAATGTGTAACATACTATCAGCCCACCACTCACAACAATATTTGTCACTTCAGCTATTTGAGAAGGCTCTCTAAGACATCCCCAGTTTTTCTTCATTAGATCACCCTACAGCTCCAAGGAGACTGGACGTAAGTGTCTCCAGACCTTGGCAGTGCTACTTGTTAGAAAGCTGAACTAGAACAAATGAGGAAACATACAATTTCCTCTCTCTTTGTAGTGTTCCTTCTAGCCTAAAAGGCGGGAGATGCTGTTTAAACCTATTTCCCTTCGTTGTTCCTCCTTACACCATGTTTGCATTCCACCAGTGGGGATTTTCTTCTGGCTGTGATGACAGGATCCCAGTTCCTGCAGATAGGCACAAAGAAACAATAAAGGTATAAATGACAGTCTGTGACTTCAGAGAAACTGTATCAGCCTTGTGCAGGATCTCTGACCACACAAAACAACCATCCATGACGAACAACACTGGTAAGGGAAGTGGAAGGAACATTTCTAAATTTGCCCTTAGGCAGATGTGACTTTCAGAATTTGATTCATGCTGGAGATGAAGCTTGTCTAGAAGCCACTTGTAGTACAGAAAAGAGCCTGTGACACACACTTACAATGAAGCCCTTCCCCAAAAAATCAAATCTTAGCAGGCAAATTCCAATATATGCAATTATAAGATCTGTGTGAATGACGGAGGTGTAGGTGTTCTGAAAGGAGCATAGGCAGCGAGAATGAAGAGAGAAGCTCAACATTTCTGTGCTGACTCAGGAGCCTTGTGGTCCAGAGCTAATTCCACCTTACGCATGGCACTGAAAGACACTACAGGTATTGTACGTATGCGCCACACGTATGCTTTCACACAGAGAATCAGTGCAGTGGGTTAAGTGATGCTGCACAATTGTAAATGGTGAAAAGGTGGAACTATGCAGCTCCAGGTAAAAGCCCAGACAGTTAATCTGATTTCTTCCTATATGCACAGGGTCAGTCCCACTACAGGCAAACACAGACATCCAGTGCAGTTTGCAAGAAAGTGCATCTGTCCTGACAGATTAAGAGGCCCAAGAACAGTTCTTCTGACAGGATTAGGAGAAACACAAAGCACCTTTGAAAAGCAAAAAGCTAAAACACAACTCTGAAGATACAAGCAGGTTTGCGAGTACGCGCATGCATGTAAAATAAAAAGAGCAGCATGTTGGCCAGAGTTCTAAAGACCAGCACTGTCTACCAGTGGCAGCCATCCATACAAAGGCGCCTGCACATCTGTGCTCTCGTAACTTTGGAAGGGAGCGGGGAGCACGCTTGCCCGGTCGGGCGCTGGGGCCGGAGCAGCAGCCCGAGCCCACCCGTGCCCGTGACGCTGCGCCGGGGCAGCAGCAGCGGCCGCGCGGCCGCGGCCAAGCGCCCGAGCGGCTGCCGGTGCTGCGGGCAGCGGCCCCGGGGCCGCTTCCTCGGGGCCGTCCCCGCGGGGCAGAGGGGGCCGACTCACCCACGCGGGTCGCGGGCCACTCCCTGGAGCTCATGAGCCTCCGCATGGTGTCATAGCGGGTGTCGCAGTTCTCCCGGTTGAAGCAATACCACCCTCCTGGGGAGGGGGAGAGAGGGCTCAGCCGTCCCGCCGCCCGCCCCGCCGCAGCCCCCGGTGGGCCGCGGGCGGCGGCGGAGGGAAGGCGGCCCGCGGGGGGGGCGCCGGGGCACCGAGGGTCGCCTCCCCGCTCCCGGCCCCGGCGCGGCGGGGGTGCCGGCGCTCACCTTCCAGGAACAGCAGCCACCGCCGGCTGCCCTTGGACTCCTTGAGGTAGTAGCTGCGGAGGAGCGGAGCGGGGGCGGCGTCAGCGGGGGCCGCGGCCGCGCGCGGGGCCGCCGGCGGGACGGGCGCCCGTGGGGGGCGGCGGCGGCGGCGCGCGCGCCCGCCCGCCCAGGCGCGCGCCCGGTCCCGCCGCGCGCTGCACCTGTCGCCGCCGCGCCGCGCGCAGCCGCGCGGTGGCGCCAACAGCCCTCGGGGCCGGGGCGAAGGGGGGGGGGGGCGCGCGGCGGGCCGGGACCGGGGGCGGCGGCGGGGGGGGGGGGGGGGGGTCCGCGGCCGGTCCGGCGGGTGGCGCGCGGAGCGGAGCGGAGCGGAGCGGGGCGCCGTGTGCGCTGGGGCGCGGCGCGGGGACTCACCCGGCCGGGCTGCCGTCGTTGCAGGTGACCGAGGCGTTGTGCAGGAGGTGCAGGCGCAGGTCGTGCGGCAGCGCTTGGGCCGAGCAGGGGTACAGCGACTGCGCCAGGCTCTTGACCTGCGCCATGAAGCTGTCCATGTTGCCCTCCACGGCGGTGAAGTCCAGCGGGAAGCTCTCGGCCGCCGCCGCCGCCGCCTCGCCGCGCTCGCGGGCCGCCGGGCCCCGCCGCCGCCAGCCCTTCCTGCCCTCGCCACCGGGACCGGCGTGCAGCAGTCCCAGCAGCAGCAGGAGGTGCACAGCCGCCGTGCCCATCGCCGCCCGCCGCCACCCGCCGCTCGCCGCGGCGGCAGCCAGCCCCCGGCGGCGGGCAGCGCCGCCCGCGCTCCGCCGCGCCCCGCCGCGCCGCCCGCGGGGACGGGGGTCGGCGGCGGGCGGCGAAGACAGCGCCGGCGGCGCGGGCTCGGCGGCGCGGCTGCCGGCGCAGGAGCCCGCCGCCCGCTCCCAGGCGGCGAGCATGACAGAGGGGCACGGAGTGCGCGGGGAGCGCGCCGGGGGCGCCGCCAGCCCGGGCGCCGCGTGGGGCAGCAGCCGGCCAGCCCCCGCCCTGCCCTGCCCTCCGCCCCCTCGGAGCGAGGCGGAGGGAGTGGGGGGTCTGCGCCGCGCCGCACCGGCTCGGCGGGCCGCTCCGTCGGGGAGCGCCCCCCGCGCGGCGCCGCCATCGCCGCCCCTGCCGGCGCCGAGGCCGCGACCAGCGGCGCCCGCCAGCCTCGCCCGCAGCGCGGCGGGGGCCCGGGGCGGCCCCTGGCCGAGGCCGGGGCCGCCCGTGGGGGCCGGGCCGCGGGGGCGCGAGGACCCGCACGTGGAGGCGCCCCCGGCCCGCGCCGCCCCCCGTTTCCCGGTGTATGTCCCCGTTTCCCCCCCCCCCCCCCCCGCCCCCCTCCCCGCCGCGGCCCCGACGGCGCTTCCTCCCCGGCTCCGCATGGGCGGTGCTGCCCGCCCCACCCCGCGGGACGTGCCGCCCCCGCGCCCCCGAGCAGCGCTCTTCCCCGCGACCCCCGGGCGCCGCCGGTGCGGGGCACCCCGGCCCGGGGGTGGCCGCGGAGTCCTCGGGGCGGGCAGCCCCGCGCTGCCGGGCTCCAGCCTCGCCCCGGCCCGCCAGGAGCAGCGGAAAGCCCGGAGGCGGTCACTTGGCTCGAGGCGTCGGCGGCCGGTCAGCGTAGGCGCCCGCGGGTGCCCGGGACGGGCAGCGGGGTCGCTCCCGGCCAGGGGACGCGGCTGCCGCGGAGCGGGAGGGGAGGCGCAGCCCCCCGCTGCGTTCGGGGGGGCGCTGGGTCGGGGCTGTCCCGCAGCGGGCGGCCGGACGGGGCGGGGGGCGTGCGGCGGGTCCGGGCCGGTCCCTGCCGGGAGCGGCGGCCCCTCGCCCCGCCTGGGGCCCCCCCGGCTCTCCGCGACGGGCGGGCCGGCCGGAGCCTTCGCCCCGGGGGGGACGTTGCCTTAGTGCCCTTCTCAGCTCCTGAGGTTTGGCCCCCAGCTGCTCTCCCTGGTTATTCCCTGGGGCTGGGACGTTTCCAGTGGTTGCAAGGAGAATCCTGGAGAAAAGCCATGTCAAGTCCTGGTTACCGGAGTGCCTGTCATCTGTAAGAGCGAGGAATGTCACAGAAATGCTGTCCTCATTATTAAATCCAAGGGAAAACAGAAGAAACGCTATGCTTTGAATAATTCCATCCTCATATAGACACCAAAATGGACAGCTCACGCTCCTCCAGAGAGGAGCAGGGCACAGTCTGTCTTTACCGGCAAATGTAATCTTACCTGGGATCAGAAGAGGTGAAAATAGTATAATCTTAAAATAGTAAGTGAAGGGCTTTTTTGTAGAGCAAGAGCTAAGGCTGTCCAGCTGCTGCAACTACATTTTTTACCTTAGCATGTTTGGACCTTCTAAGTGTATCCTCAACTCCGAATTCACTACACACACGGCACATGGTTTTGCAGTTTGCTTGCTGTGTTCATGGTTTTGTCTTTTTTTCTTTTTTTTGAGACTTTGAGTTATGTAGTGTTGGTCTTACCTCTGTCCTCAGTCAGATTTTTACCTCCAAATGTTTTCTTTTATATAAGTGCTGATAGTACCACTGGTATCTTTAAGCCACAAAAAGCCACTAAACTGAACATACCTCTCCACCCATGCACTACATTCACCCCCTGGTATGTATTTTTGGTCCAAGCACAATTCTGCATCATCACACCTTTTTCTAGACTGGCATTAACATCCCTTTCTCAGTGACCATGACAGATAAGAGCAATTGATCACTAGGACTAGTTACAGCAAGTTAGCTCGTCCAGCTGCCTGAGCAGAGGTGCCACTGGAAGGAAACTGGTTAGTTTGTGCAAAGTTTGAACAGATAAATCAATAAGTTCTCAAGAGCATATCAGGATCACTGGAACAGTTGGTATAAACAACTCCAGGACCTCATATTCCACTAGCTACAACAAGAAAACAGGGCGGGTAAGCTTGCTGAACCCCATCCTACTTCTTTAGGGAAAAGGCTGCCGTTCATCTCACTGGTAGGACTGTGTTCTTGGTTTCCATGCTTCTTCTATTTGGGGAGGTCTGCAGTTAATGGACTTTGTGAGACATTGTACCAGTGGGTGCATTAAGGGGTAACTGATATACCAATGAAGAACCTTAGGGCAAAGGGGAGTGCATGTTAGGGTTGCAGATCTTTGGGCCTTTGTCCAAAGAGGTGATGAAAAGAAATTTAAATTTTGACTGTCTTGGCTTTACTGAGATTTACTTCAGATTTCTTACTTCTCCTGGTTCAGGCAACTCAGGCAGGTTTCTTTCAGAGCACTCTCGCTTACAATTCTTCTGAACCCTTGTAAAATGCAGATATTACCTCTGTTGTGAAGGAGCAAGGGGGCTGTTAAGAAGAGTCTAAGGCTGTGCGAGGTTGTGGCATGACAGACTGCTTTCTTACTTCTAGACATTTAAATCTGGTACAGTTTAACTCTCTGATGTCCTGAACTTGAGAGAGCATCAAAGTGCACACAGGTTTTAGAAAATTTTATAATAAAGTCCTTCAGCACAAGGGGTTCACCAAGTTTTAATCTTTTGATAAGAGCCACCCTACATTGAATAGACTGGGCTCAGTACAGAAGGAAGCTCAGGGAAAGCTGAGAAAGAATTGGACTCCGGTTCCAGGCACTGAGGATTGGGCATTTTTATGGGTAGGAGTAAGGCACGTAGGGGGCCACCAAGAGATTTTTAATGATGGGGAATAATGTTAAGGGAGATGCTGTTTTCATTTAATACCTTTCAAATTATCCTGCATACTATATTCCAGTATGTCCTAATGTAGATCTGTATGTTGAAGTGTGGTGGACTATGTTACACAACAGCAAATGAGGCGGTTCTGAAATTCCCTAGTACTCTGCCAGGACCGAGGCCGCTCCAGGAATTGCCCTTTTGATGTTTCCCTATCAGAAACCGAGAGGTTTACACCTGGAGTCCTGTGTGCAAGGACTTGTGCCACAGGTACATTTCCCCTTTGTAGCCAGCTCTCATGCCTGACGTAAGCAGCTCTGCAGCCCTGGCTCAGTTGAAGTTCTCCGACTTGTTTCTTGGGTCTTGTGTTGATCAAAAATGTGGGTGTGTGTGGCGTGAGAAGACCACTCCTAGAAGCCCAGTCACCAACAGACAAAATCCTGCTTTCGCATAGCCACACTACCACCATCTCTTCTAACATCAGTGGTGGGTAGGAGTAAAGCAACTCTGATAGGCCAACAGAGCTCATTTGTACCCTTCACGCAAACATAACGCACTGTGCTCTGGTAGGAACCACCCTCTTGAATGTCCCCAGGACTCAGCTTGATCAGTAGCATATACTGTTGGTACGGACAGGAGGAAATACTTTTCAGAATCATCGTTGCTGTGATAAAGTAACTATTGTTCTGTATCGTATTTTGGAACTGGTTACAACATATTTCAAGATGTTCACAGTTAATTTCCTACCCATTCAAAAGAAAAAAAAAAAGGGGGAGGGGGCACTTCCATGCTTTATCAAGAAGCAAATTTATGCATTATTGTCTGTGTGGGTGTGTGACAGAATGCAAACGGGCATCATTCCAAGGATATGTATCTAATGCAGAGCACTAGCTGCCTAAAAGATGATTTTAGGGAAAGGTCATTCTACAGTTTGTTCGCTGTAATGACTAATGGAATGCAATTTCTGGAAAGTTTTTAGCATGGTGAATGCTGTTTTGCTGAGACTCACCTGGTAGATTTGCAGTCATCCTCTTGATCCTGACAGTGGCAGAAATCCAAATTGTTAAGGGTATTTTCAGCTATTCCCTAATGAGTTCCTCTTTGTAGCAGTTTAATGAGCTCCAGGTTGTAGTTACCTCCCCCTTCTTTCTCTCCTGATGCTTCTAATTTCAGATAAATATTTGAGATTAGAAGTGGCTCTGGGTATGAAATGTGACCCTTAACCCCCATGCAACTTTCTGATTATGACATGCCATTAAAAATGAGATTCATCTCTCTAATCCTGCAACTTGGAATTGTTCAGCTCAAATTACATCGGTGTCTTTTTAACAGGAGTAACATTTTTTTAAGGGATGTGTCACTTTCAGATGCAAAATACGAAACAGCTGCCTGCTTCAGACATCAGATAGGAGCTACCCCCTATCCAGAAACAAGACCAGTTTTTTGTGCTCCATGAAACCCAAAGTGTATCTTTTAAAATGGAATGGCTGCTCCACCTCAGCAGCTGAATAATCACTGGTGTTACTGTAGCCATTGCATGCCTGTGCAGGTATTAATTAGCGGAAGGACAGGACATCTTCATTCTGTGCTACCTGCTGAGCTTTGGATCTCTACCCTATTTTAAAGACTAAGAAGAACTTGCACACTGTAGGTATTTGTTGCACCGTTTGTAGGCAAAAGTGTGAAAGCTTTCAGAACAATCTTGCCCTTAACTCTTCATGCCTCTTCACATGTTTTACAGCAAAAGGCAATTATAAAGGTAGGGAATTGTAAGAAATATGTCTCTAGGCTTGTGAACGTTACAGAGATGGTGACAGAGAATGGTTAGTGATTGTTTCTTAGTAAGAGCTTGGGAACACCTGGGAAGAAGTTCTAAACCAAACAAAATTAAGTACTTCTGTCATACAACACAATTTAACTGTGGCATTCATTGCCCCATGATCCAGCAGATGCCAAAAGCTCAGATGGGCTCAAAACATGGCTGGGCAAATTCAGGTATGAAAACGCCATCAGATGTGATTAGACATAAAGACACAACCTCTGACTCTGGAAGTCTAGAAGATGCAGATTGCTGAAAACTGGAAGTTGACACTGGGGAAAGTATAACTGCACTCTCCTGCCCTGCTGCTGTTCCCAGCCACTGTCAGAGATTGTGTTCTGATTACCTTGGTGTAAGCTGGTGTAGCCATTCTTATTAAGAAGCTCTTCTAAGATGTGGGCCTCTCTCCTAGAAAAGAGCATCCTTGAGAGGACAGTCATTCATAACCTCCTTATGCAATGCTGAATTTCAGGGTATGAGCAAATTTCTTAGCGACATAAGTTGAGAACTGACAAGCAAAGAGAGGATGGTGGCAATACCTCCATATATAGCTATCATGATTATATTCAGAAAGTTCCATAGCTGCTTATCTAAAAGAGTAAATAAAAAAAAAGTGCGCATAGACAGCTTGCAGGGTATTGACATATGGTTGAAAGTCATTCAGCTGATGTGGACTGATGAGTTACTGATCAGCTGTTCTGTAGTAAGTGGCCATATATATAACCCTTGTCCATCCTAGCTCTGAAAATAAAGTACATCGACTTAAACCATTTTAATGTGTTTAGGAATTACAGACGTGGACTGGGATGCCAATATCCTGAATGCTGTAGCTGTGTAAGTGATATGACAGTGATACTTCCCAACACAGTGGAAAAAACAAATGTAAAGACATTCTTAAGCATTGTTTTTAAACAAGGCATTATATACCAGGACATCATTTATTACTATTACTACATCTTATAGAGTAGTTATGGTGTTGGGTGGACTTAGGAATCCACATGCATAAGCAAGGGGATGTCTCTCCATCATTAAAATTCCCGTTCTCTTTCTCCCTTCCCTCGCACTGCTGATATGGTAAAAACGAGCCAGTGTTATCTTTTACGAAAGTGTCTTTCCTTAAAAGGATCTTTTTCCTTTATAAGCCAAGCAAAGCAGACATTTTTGTGGGCGCTGGGGGTGGCGGTGGGGACTTAAGCTTAACATATATGATAAATATAGAAGAAGTAGAGAAAGTATTTGGCATGTGGTAACAACTTAGGCTAAATAAATTCCAGTGGTTACCCAAACTAGAAGTTTTTTGATGATAGCAAACAAAACAGACTGCAGTTGAATCTCTGAGTGTGCCTTCGATGCTGAAAAGGCAGTGCTAAGTGTGAAGGAGCAGCTCATAAATAAAGTCTCTGATAAATTTTGTGTTGTAAAATGTAAAATAATCTTGGTTCCCCAGCTGCAGTCATCTCATCTGAATGGCTGAGTTTGTAACACTGATCGTGAGAGGCCCAATCAACATTTTTCCTTCCCCTTCCCACCCCCCCCCCCAGAATAAATTGCTTTCGAAGGCAGTGGGATGCTCCAATTTGTCTTATCCTGATTGTGACACTGTCTAGACACTCATCTGACAATGGGAACGTAGGAAAATGTTCCCCCCTTCTCTCTGAAATGTGGTTGTTAACAATAGATTTTATATTTTGCCATGGAGTACCTTTCTTGTACCTGTTGGTATTTTTTGAGTTATTGCTCACTGCTTGGTAAAGAGGCAAGACCTTAAATCTGGCGAAGGGATTTCTTGCCATAAATTTATCCCGCGAGTGCCAGGCCCCCAGACAGATCCCTTCGGCCTCCGGGTGAGGAACGCCCGGTGCTCGCTGCGCGCCCCGGCCGGGGGGGTTACTGCGTGGGTTGCCAGGCAAGGTCCAGCTACAGCGAAGAAATCTATTTTCTTTCCCTAACGGTCAGGGGGTTGACGGGAACACTGGAAACCCGACGGAAAACACGCCGAGCCGCCCAAGTGCCGCTGGCCCCCGCAGGGCTGCGGGACGGCCCCGGGCCCGCAGCCGCCGCCTCGCTCGAGCGGGCAGGGCCCGGATCGCCGCCGCCCGCCGGGGGAGGCGCCCCCCGGTCGGCCCGGCGGCCGCCGCTGGGCTCCCGCGGCCCGTTCGCCCCCGCGGAGAGGCGGCTGCTGCGGGCGGGCGGGCGGTCGGTCGCCGCCGCCGTCCCCGGTCCCGCCGCCGTCCCCGGTCCCGCCGCCGCCCGCGGCCCTGCGCGGCGGGGCGGGGTCTGCGGGCAGGGCCGGCCCAGGGCCCGGCTCCGCCCCGGGCGCGCCGGGGCGGGAGGGAAGATGGCGGCGGCGGGCGGGGGGGGCGCGGTGGTGTCGGTGCTGGCCCCCAGCGGGCGGCGGGTCACGGTGCGGGTGGGGCCCGGCACGGTGCTGCTCCAGGTGGGTCCGCGGCGGGGGCGGCCGGCGGCGCGGCGCGGCAGGGCCGCGGGCCGGCCCGTAACGCCTCTGTTCTCTCCGCAGATCCTCGAGGAGGTCTGCAGGAAGCAGGGCGGCAGCCCCGGCGAGTACGGCCTGAAGTGAGTCTCACCGCGGGGCCGCCTGCGCCCCGCCGGGCCGGCGGGCGCCCGGGCCTGGTCCCGGCTGGAGGCCGCGCCGCTGGCGGGAGAGGCCCCGCCCGGGGCCGGGCCCGGCGAGGCGCTCGCCCGGTGCCCGCGGGCTGCCCCGGGCTGTCCCGCGTGGCCGGGCCTCGGCGCGGGCGCGCGTGTGGCGGGTGGGTGGGTGCCGAGAGGGGGCCCGGGGCGCCTTCAGCGGAGTGCCGAGGTCCGGCTTCGTGCGGGCCCTTGCCGCGGCTACGTGGGTCTGGCGCGGTAGGGCACGAGGAAACTGTTCACAGTCATCCGTGGGGAGAGGGACCCACAGGCTCTGCTTCAGAGTGTTGTCCAGTGCAGTTATTTTGTTCAAATTAAGCTCTCAATTTCCCCGTGCCAACTTCCCATCACTCCTGGGGTCCTGTGTAGCTTCCATGAGGATGTCCCTCCCCACACATGCACCTCTGCTGGTTCACAGACTGGTAGGACTCGTCTCTTACCTAGTGGTTTGATTGTATGCTTTTACTGTATTGTAGTCAAGAGGTTATTTGTCTTGAGTGACAGTAAAAGAAAGTGCCTTTTTGTTTAACAGTGAACACCAGGCTTCAATGCGTATTCAGTTGCTGTTTACCTCTTAAAGCCTGAGGAAGGACATACATTTGAGTGTTTTATCTGAGACCTCTGCAAACTGCATCTTTTTTGGTACACACAATAATTTCTGTTGGTGACACAGTTCTGTTGGATTACCAGTTGTGCGTTGTTGAATCCTGCTGTATGGCTTCTAGTCAGCCTGTGGGATATTCTCTCGCTCAATACCTGGACTTTGTATTGTTGCCAGTTCTGAAGTATTCTGAAGGTGGCATTGGGTGTTTTCTGGTGTCTTCATGGGCTGTGTTCTTCTTTAGGTTTCAGAGGAGCGTGCTGGATCTCTCTTTACAGTGGAGATTTGCCAGACTGCCCAACAATGCCAAGCTGGAGATGGTGCCAGTCACCAATAGAGTGGGAACTGGAAACACGGTATGTTAATTTCACAGTGTGACCCGATTTGTTCAGTTATCAGTTGTACTGAATATGGTCTCGTCAGATCTAATGAGCGAGAGCATGGTTAGGCTTGGCCTATGCTTGAGTGGAAGACCACCCAAAGACTGGTTGAGGTGTGGTGGAAAATGGTAATTGAGTGTCTGGAAGTCTTTACTTACAGTCTGTATGATGGTGGAGTTCCATCTGTGTGCTGAAGGATAGGGAGGAGATCTTTTGGGGAGCTAAAAAGCTAGTAGTCATGAATATGTAAGAAGTTAAATATCACTGATGACTTTGCTCAGCAGTTGAGCTACCAAGTTCCCTTTCCTAATTTCTATTTCAGTTGCTGCTATCTGCCTCTGGATTTTGACTAAGTCTCAAATTCCTACAGGATTCTCTTTTGCTTCTTTCCCAGCGTTGCTGTTCATGTTGTGTTCACACAGCTTCAGAATTTGTTGTGACGTGTGTTGTGTTAAGCAGTTGCCGAATGTCCCTGTTTAGTATAATTTGCAAAGGGTTTATGGATGCTGTGTTCTGTAGGAATTATTGTCACGTTTGAGAGATTTAAAAATCCTTTTTGCATGTAACTATAACAGCAGGAGGCATAATTTTTAAAACAATGCATAGGTGTTAATAATCGTAAACATTTTATGTGGTAAAAATGATGTATGATCTTATTTAAGTAGTCTGGAGTGAAAATTTGTCTATCACTAACAGTCATCTCTCTTACTGACTTTCTCATACGGAGTTTCTCAATTTCTGTGAAAGTTTCAGCTCTGTTAGTGCTAATGTCTTAATGTCTGTCTGCCAAATTGTGTTAGTGGAATTTTGTTATAGGCAGCATGCAAAGATAAACTGATATGTACACTGAAGAGTGAACTTTGTAGTGTGAGAAGGTTTTGGACTCTGCTGTAGTTTACTGTGGGTGCGCAATGTAGTTTTGGGGGTCATTGGTGTTCATGTTTTCTTCTGTAAAACCGCCATGTGCTTTGTTTTGGCACTAATGTTTTCTTTCTGACTTTGTGGTAGAAAGAAATTTGTGCTCCAAATGGCGTATTTAGTTAAAAAAATACCACAAGCGGGTAGCATCTGCTTAAAATTTTCAGTTAAAAAAAGTTGTGATAGCATGGATTGTCTTCCAGAGGAAAGTGTTTCTGTTAAAATAGTACAGTGATGACTTTACCTGACATTTGCATCCAGTTTGGGAGGTATTGTACCGAAGGAAAATAGTGATTTTATTTTATTTTTTTTTTACCCGTGAAGATATATGCAGCATATGTCAGAAAGGGTGAGAAGGACAGTGTGCTGTAGGAGAGGGGTTATAACATAGAATCACTACTTTAGATCACAAAAGAGAAGAGCTAGTGAAAGTTTTAAGTTGTTACTGTTTAGTTGTATTTCAACAGAAGAATCTACAGAAGTGAGGCTTCCTTTGGAGTGCTCACTGCTATTTAATGGAGTTGAGAAGATACAGCAAATATGCTTGTGAAGAGAGCAGTCTACACAGAGTTGCTGTCCTGTAAAATAAGAGCAGAGATTTCAATTGGAAGAATTTTACAGTCAGTGTAAGAAAATACTTCGTACAGAACAACTGACCAAAACAATTCCCTGCCACAGGGAACTAGAGTCAAATACTATAGGAAGCTTAAAACAGCTGGATAACTGTGACTAGAACTGACACTAGGATCATGCCCTAATACAGTGGCCATTGAGATGTGGACTCAGTCATGCGGGCCCGCTGCAGTAATGTTGGGATGAGTCTGGTTCTTTGTCTTTTGTTATTGTCTCTTTTATTGAGATAATGTGTGTGGAAGTAGGTGTGCTTTCCTGTGGGATGTTGGCAGCAATTACCCCTAGAGACAGAATACAGGTTTTGATAAATCATTGGTTTGTTCAGCAAAAATGATATTTTTAAGATGGAATGCTTTTGGATTTGCCTTTGCAAGTAAAAATCATTGATTCCTGTAAGGCGGTTCTAGCAAAAAATTGAATGAATTCCCCTTGTGATGACAGGTGATGTAGGGGTACCATCAGCACTGTTCTAGTGTTAGCCTTTTGTTTATGTGCTTGTAAAGTTTGAAGATAATTGGTACTGGTGTCTCTATTATTTTATATAGAGCCTGGGATTTTAAAAAAGGCTTTTCTAATTGACTGAATAGGACTTTCGTGACATGCTTAGCTTTGAATTGTTGCCCAAAAACTGATGCAACTAGTAGTCTGAATTTCTGGGCTGGTTTCTTATAGAATGGTGATGTCAGCTGTCATCACTCCACTGTAGCTGAGAATAATCTAAGGCTTGTCTCCAGCATAGGAGAGAGCAGGAGGTTCTATTAGTGGTGGGGTGAAACTACTTAGTTCTGTTGGCTAGTTGTTGATGATGCCACTGTTTCCTTTATGTAGAAAAATTCCTGTCTTACAATTTGCAGTCCTGCAAGGACTGGTAGGAGCTGAGGCAGATGACGAACATAATCCTCCAAGGAAATTGCAGTCAACTGCTGGAGTGTGTGGTGTCTATTTTTTCCCATCTCTCTCACCCCCTCTCCCTGCTCACACACACCTCACACACACACATCGAGGATGCACTGACTGTTGGTAGGGACACATGAAAACACAGAATGAAAGAAAGCTTCTGTTGATGTCCTAGGCTTATGTCCTTCTCAGACTTTTGAATAAGGCCAGTTTATGTGGGTTTCAGAAAACTATAGCTGGCTAGAGATACCAGGTGATATCTAATAGGGAATTTTTGTGTTTTTTTTTTTTTTAACTTTTCTTTAGACAGGTGAGCTAATTGGAATGCCTGCATGGGTCAACAGGTAGCTTCTGGCCAAACTCAGACACAAAAAGGAAGCATACAGGGAGTAAAAGCAAGGATGGATAGCCTGGGAGGAATAGACAAACCTTGTCTGAGCATCCAGGGATGAAGTTAGGAAAGCTTAAGCCCAATTGGAATTGGATGCGGCCAGGGACATCAAAGACAACAAGAAGGGCTTCTTTAAGTACATAGGTGACAAAAGGAAGGGTAGGGAAAATGCGGGCCCATTGCTCAACAGGGCAGGGTACTTGTTTACACAGGACGTGGAAAAGGCTGAATGCCGCCTTTGCCTCCGTCTTTATGAGCAAAACCACCCTTCAGGAATCCAAAGTCCCAGAGACCAGGGGGAAACGCTGGAGCAAGGAGTACATACCCTGGTGGGAGAGGATCAGATCAGGGAATACTTGAGCAAACTGAACATACATAAGTCCACGGGCCGTGATGGGATGCACCACCCATGAGTGATGAGGGAGCTCGCAGATGTTACTGCAAGGCTGCTCTTGATAGTCTTTGATTGATCATGGTGAACCGGACACGTGTCTGAAGACTGCAGGAAAACAAACGTCACTTTACCTTCAAGAAGGGCAAGAAGGAGAACACAGGGAACTACAGGTGGATCAGTCTCACCTCATCCCTGGGAAGGTAATGGAGCAGCTGATCCTGGAAACGATTTCCAGGCACATGGGCGATAGGAAAATCATCAGGAGTAGCCAGCATAGATTCACCAAGGGGAAGTCATGCTTGACCAACTTGATAAGCTTCTATGATAAAATGACTGGCATGGTAGGTGAGGGGAGAGCTGTGAATATTGTCTACCTGGAATTCAGTAAGGCCTTTGGCATTGTCTCTCATAAGAACCTTATGTATAATACTCATATTCATAGCAGAATAGAACTATTCTCAATATTAACTTCTAAAATAATAATGTGAATACCCCTCTGCATTTTTAGCTAATGTAATCCTGTGCAGCAAGCGTTTAGAAGGAAGTAGTGATTTTTTTTGAATAGCAGGTTCTAGAGATCATTGAAATATTAAAACAAGCTGTGAAAAAAAAAAAAAAAAAGTTTCATTAAATTTTCAGATTAATTCAGTGTATTTTTTTCCTGTAGGTTCGGATTGCATTACAATTAGATGATGGCTCTCGTTTACAAGACACCTTTCTCTGTCAGCAGACTTTGTGGGAACTTCTGAACCATTTTGCAAAGATAAGGTGAGCAATGCAGTGAGAAAATACTTGTTTGGATGGATCTCTGCATGATAGGAGTTAGCTGTGGTCACAGTGATCCAGCTAAATCCTGCAGATTTGTAGGGTTTGCATTATTTTGACTGTGTTTTTTCCTTTACAACAGAGATGTTTGTCTTTTCCTTGCTCTTTCGGATTTGACACTCCATAGTTTCATTATTATTTTTTATTCTGGAATAGCACTTTTGATTCAGGGCATAAACTGGTAAAAAACTGCTAAGGCTAGGAAGAAACTGTACTTGAATATATTGCTGCACCTGTCTTTTACACAACTTGTTTGAAGTCAAGTTACTGCCAGAGTTGAGATTGTAGCCTAGATTATCTTGATCACCAATATTTCTGTGCTGTTGTTCCATGTGATGGAGGGAGTTCTTTCTTAACTGCGTTGTTACTGCTTTTGAGGCTTGCTGTTATGCAAGTTCTTCAGGGAAATCTGGAGCTCTCAACAGGCTAATGTAGAATCTTCAAAACACAGATTAGATCCTTTTTAAATTGAAGAATTTCTGGTCCTACATTTATTGAATATATACATGGGTTTGAAATCTTATTATTTTGAGTCCAGTCTATATTCAGTGGCTTCTTTTGTCTTTAGCTTTGACTTAAAAATACTATATTGTTTCGAAATGACAAGCTAACAAAGTTTTCTCCAAAGACAGTTCTTTTATTTTTGTCATGGCTTGGAAGATGAAGCCTTGAAGCTGTGACAGCCATTCTATTCTGAACCCAATTTCCAAATTTATTTTTTTTCTATTGTAGTTGGCCTTACCTTTCTCTTGATACATTTTTTTTTGTTTGTTTGTTTTATTTTCAGGTCCTGTATTTCTAGCTTGTTCTTTCTCTTACATTCCTCAACTTCTGCTAGTTGCTCTGTTGCATTTGAATCTGTTGCTTATCTGTACAGATGCTGTGCTATGGTACTGTGCAAATAGGAGCTATTTTTGTTAATTTCATAAACCAATTAAATACTCATCTAAAGAGACAGTAGTGCTCTATGTCAAAACTTTTCAAGTCTCCAAGGCTGTGGTGCTAGAAAAGCTATGAAATGAGTCCCTAGTAAGGGTGATGATGCAGTAGCATTCAGATAAGCTGAACCTTTTAGCATACAGTTACAGGATACAAAATGATGTACTGTCAACTGTTAGTTGAGCTGTAGCAATTGACTGGTTATGGGTTTTGTGTTAGTACTAGACTAACACATACTAGCATAAATTACTTTAACTGAAATTTGAAGTTGCTTGTTCTACACTGCAATTGAAATAGCCTAAGCAGCGTGGTTCTGGGGTTGACTTCACTGATGTTACCTTATAAGTCAGGGTTGCACAGTGGAAGTGTGTGACTGGAGTTGCTCTAGAGCTGTTTCCAGGGTGAAGGAACTAATTCTTCCAGCCTCCCAATGATGTGCTCTTAGTTTTCTGCTATTTCAGCTCCCCGACTGGCCTGTAACAAGATCAAAGGAGTGACTAGTGCTGGCCCAAGGGAGGGAGTTTGGATCTGGGGCATCTTCTGTGTAGCAGGAGGGGATTGAACAGTTAGTGCTCACTTCCTGCCCTCTCATCGAACTCCCCTCATACTACCTCTGCAGCTTTGTGGGGAATTGGCTTAAGTAGCTGATTCAGCTGAAAAATAGTATTTTCCCCACCTACCTGTTGGGTAGATAGGTGTCCTAACCCAGTTAAGGGTTGTCTTTCATAGGCAGTTATGATGAAGTGTAGCGTATCTGGAAGTAAGGATCCAAAAGGAGGAAGCAGCAGGTGGGTAGGAGTGGCGTATGTCAGCTTTTCTACTCAACATGTTGTCAGCAAACCATAGTTTGAGGAAATGCTTGAGGTAGTCTAGTGACTAAAGGGATATAAATGAATCTTACTTATCCTACTCTGTTTGTCTTTAATGGTCAGGGACTAGGTCTACACTGTGTCATTTAAGTCAAAAGGGACAGCCTTCATGTCTTTTGAAGAAAGAGGTAGGCAAGGAAAGCCAGGTATAATCTTCCTGGGTGTTTTAAGGCCCCTCTTGTACCTTACTACATCCTTTGTGCCGTATGGGAGAAGAGTGCTTGTTACAGTTTGGAAACTGCTGAACTGACGAGGGTGATAATTATGGACAGTGACAAATAGCCTTTGTGTGGCTTTCTTGCACATTAGTTGGCTATTTCTTTGGTTTAAATTTTGAGGTTTTTATATAATTTTGGTCCTTTTGAGTGGTTTTATTTGTTATAGGTTATTGTAATACTAATAGTTAATGTACATGCTGCTCTTTTTAAGGTTCTAACTGCTACAGTGTGCTAAGCATTATTAACTTCAGTTCATAAGACACAGCTGTTCTTTTCTGCCCTCTGGAAGCTGAGCTCAGATGTTTGGATGGACTTTGCAAACTTTTGATTAAGTTTGACAAGCAGCAAAGATGCTGTGTGTGCCTTAATCACAAAACAAGCTCGATCTATAGCCATCCATATAGATTTCATGGGTTGTGCTGCTTTTCAGTGTGTATTGACGCAGTTGACTAACTAGTCAGCTAGTTGTTGACTTTTGCTGAATCCTTCCTTTGACTTTCCAACTGGAGACGTTTTCCTGGAATGCTCAGCTGCTCTAAGTGCGTGAGGGGAAGTATTCTAAATCCACTGGAATTTCCCCCAGGTTTCCAGGGTCCATCTTGGCTAATTGGGTCTGAAGAAGGTCTGGAAGCTATTGTAAGGCTGCTCCTCCTCTCAGCATGCGGCAGTCCTTGCACAAGATGTTTACAGGCCCTGTCAGATCACTACATGAAGGAATCTAATCTGCTTGCCGTTCCCCTTCTGAAGAACAGCACATCAAAGAAATGACAGTGTGTTTGATGTGTGTGCTTGCCTCAGTGAATGCATGTAACGGATTAACAGCAGCTGGAGGAGGAGCCTGCTGGCTTCCAAGAGTTATACAAAAATAAGTCTCTGGGGATCTTTGCTTGGAGTCTGTTCTGCAGAGACTGGTGAGGGCACAAGCGTTGTATACCCTTTTAGCATGAGGCCTGGGAGAACTGCTGCTTTCCTGTCTCCCACTCTTGCCTGTCTGGCAGCTTCAGCAGCTTTGTAGACTGTTTTACATAGAAGTGATTGCAGTCTGGACACTTGAAGACAGTTTTGACAATAACTATGATTCTTCGCTACTTTTGTGGTATCATTCATTAAGTTCAGATATTTTCCATACATTTTTAGAAGACTTTTCAAACCAAAGAGTTGCTTGGATTGAAGTAGAAAGCAATTTTGGAAAGGTGAATGAAACTAGGTTGTGCAAGTCAAATTGGTTTCCTCTCTTACGGGTCTGTGTGGTGAGAATGTGTGTTCTGTTGTGCCTTGGCTTCTCCTAAATGGTGATCATCCACCTTTTGTGATAAACAGGCAACTTGAGGTTCAAGCTTTTACTCCTCTAGGCTGTTTCGTCTCCCTTCGCTGTGATTCTGTACCATTTCCTCCATGTCTCAGCAGTCCTTTATCTTTTGTGTACTTTTATCGAGGATTCCTGTAGGAATACAGCTGATCCTGATTGGAAACAAAACCCATCAAAAATAAAATAGGGATGACTAGCTCTACTGGATGGTCTGGAAAAGCCTGAGCACATGTAGCCTGTTGTGGCATGCTAAAGGCAGTCTCTTAGGAGCTATTTTGTTCCAATCTTCCTATCAAGAGACAAGATTTTTTTTTTTTTTCAGCCTTTCCTGATCAAGCGTTGGCTGTTGGAACTTACTTGATTACTGCTGCAAACAAGTAAGGGAGGTTGGATTTTGGATCTTGAATCACAAGATTATGCTCATTCTATATTAGGAACTTAATCTTTTGATTCTTCCAGAGCATTGTATACAGCTTTCTGTCACTGACAGAGAATAACAAATTGCAGAACCGCAAATGGTGGCAGACGTATTCTAGTCATGTTTTGGTTGTTCATCTTGAGTTAGAAGGTTAACAGTGTTTCATAATCTGAAACTTAAATGTAATAGTTTGGATGCTCTGGGTGTGTCTGTCGCTTTCTGCGTTATGGGATTTGGTGTGATGGCTGGGAAAAGCGTTCTGAAAGAATGATACCTCAGGACTATAAACCCCCTGTGTTCTGTTGCAGCTGGTATGGAAGTAGTTCTCAGCCCCTGACTTCCCTAAATCAGACCCGACCCTCTGGACTGGTTTTGCAGGTTACTCTGTTTGGATTTGCTAACTCTAGCAAGTGGAGCTTCTCAGTTTCATTGTGACTCACCTTGTCCCATATCATTATGCTCTTGCATGCTTTATTTAGAAAGGCTTAAGTTTTAACCTTTAGATCAAGATGGGAGATAGACTGCTACAATTAAACGAAACAGAAGTCTCAATTCTGGTCTGTGCTTAACAGGTTTGCTTCCCTATGTCCTCCAGCTGGAAATCTTTGATGTGCTCTTGCTCTTGAGGATTGCTCAAGGATTGAGTATCATAAGTTTCCAGGTGGCGCTCTCAATCCTGAGTGACTTCTGGTTCCAGCTATTTCACTTATATTTCATTGAAGCCGAGTTTTGAGTCTAAATGTACGTGTCCTTGATGAATATTCCTGGAACTTAATGGCTATTGCCCTTCGTTTTCTACTCTGTAGGCTGGTTGACTCCTCCCCTGTTCAGTTTGTTTTGTCACTTTGTGCTGGGCTAAATAGATTTGTGTTAAAATACTAGGTAAGACATTGAATGTGTGTGTGTATGTATATATACACACTTCTAAGTTGTTCATCGGTGATGTATTTTGGACATAATAGACTACATAAGATAATAGTGGCAAAGCTATTGTTGTTAAGTAACTCTGAACATTATGCTAATACTTCAGATTAGTGGAAAGTAGTAAGATGCATTTGGTTATGTAGACTCTTGTCTTCTGCTGTGCAAGCAGATTGCTAAAGTGCTAAGGGTTATTTTATTTCCTTCTTAACTGGACAGAAAACATTTTCCATGTCTTAAAGTGGTCTTTCCATAACGGTTGGGTTTATTGTATGCCTATTTGTGGACTTACCAGCTATGAAGTAGAAGCCTTTCTAACAGCAGGAGTCAGTGTGGCCGTACCACAGACATGCTATGTAATGTATAGAGTCACTTCAGAATTAGAAGCTTGACTGACTGAATGGATTTTGACTATTACTTAAGGGATCCTTTTCCTACATAAACCCTGGAGATAACTTTGTGTCTGGTAATGTTATATGTCAAAATACATAAGTTTAAATTACACGATGCTAAAGGCAGAATGTTTTAAGTAGTGGAACTCTGTTCATTTAACTCCTTTCCAGGAAAAGTCAGAATGAATCCAGCCTTGATCACTGACATCCTTTTCTTGTAGTCATTCACTGTTCCGTTCCACAGGTATGGTGCTCACAGATTAAAGCATAAGATAGAGAATGAGCCCTTGAAGGTACAAGTGATCGGTGTAAGTGATGCACTAGATATAAGCAGTTGGAGTTCCTGCTTGAATTTTGTGACACCTGGACACCAAGTTGATGAATGTTTTGCAAATATATTTAGAAGAATGTGTGGCTGTGACTGCTACTGCAGAATTATCAACAATGCAGAGAAATGATTGAAGTAGAAATATCTTTCCAAAACTTCTAATTTCCAGTGAAAAATACTGGATTTTTTTCCAGGCTGCCAGGGTCCTGCAGGTTTTGTTTTTCTCACTGCAGAGACTAGAATGTGATGATTTAAGAGGCAGTTAAGTGCGAGTGTTCTCATAACCCTGTCAGTCATTTACAAAGCTCCTCATGAGTTCAGTAGTCAACACCAGAGTAAGAGGGCATAAAATGACAAGCTGACTTTAGTGACTAGCTTCTGCCTCTCTTGTCAGAGGCCTCAGGAGATGAGCAGGGATGTGTCGCTTTACTGGACTTTTCATTAGCTGATTTACAGAGAGGTGGTTTCTCTTCAAGTCACCCAGGGTGATGGGTGATTGTTTCCTGGAGGGGTGAGGCATAGGGGAAAGCCATTTTTTTATACCCAGAGACTGGATTCCAGAGAGTGTTAAGATCAAGGGAGTTTACCATGAGGAAGAATGTCAGCTGTTTTGCTTTTGACAATAAAACAGCTGTTGTAGTGCAGATGGTACATACAGCTCCTTATCAAGGGATGTCCTGTTGCAACTGCAATGACAGAGCTGAGGACAGAATGTGCTAACAAGAGCTACTGGAATCTTAGAGAAGGGTGAAATCTTACTGGTTCTCATTGTGTTGATGCGGAATATCCTGGGGCAACTTTCTCACCTTTTATTTTGTAGCTTCCCCTGCTAAGTTAGGCTGAAGCTTTTGAATCTAAAGCTTCTCAAAAAAAAATGCTTCTGAGAATTCATAGAATCATAGAATTCAGCCAGTTATCTTTCCAAACCATCACTCTCTCGGGATGGACAGTATTCTCCTGGTCACCTTTTGCCATTGGTGTGCTCGGGAGAGAGAAGCAAACTGTTACTTGCTTTAGAGCAGTATTTCATTCTATTTGTTGCTGTGCATACATGGAAAGAAACTGACCTGTCCCCAAGGAAAGTACAGTCTAAACTGTAATTAAACTATTTAACTTCTGGGTTAAAAAGAGTAGTATTAAGTCATGTTCCAGATTGGGTTCTGAGGCACATGAAGAATGATGTGCTCAAATTTATCTAGCCAGATTGACTAATTTCAGAATTAACTTTAATTATTTCTCATTTGTTTTTAAATTTTCAGGGCTGTGTTTAAGGAACAGTGAATGCATTGGAGCAAATTCTTTACCTGATGTCTAATAAAGACTTTGTGAACTGTGTAATGGTTGTTGCTAGAGGAACATGGAGGAGTGTGTTGCTAGCTAATTTCACTTCTTACTATTGCTTTACATCGATTTTGGAGGGGGGTAGACTGTTCTATAGATGCTTCAGTATTTTTGCTCTTTATTGCAGGGAGTTTATGGAACAGCATGGTGAATTCTCTCCAGTCTGTATTTACATGCGAGATGAGGTAAGTCAGTAAAGTCTTCTTAACTGTCTCTTCTCCTTCTGTCCCTAAAAAATAAGAAAAAATCAGCTCTGCTTTCCAACCTGGAAAGTGTTTCTTTTGAACTTTCTTGAGAGGGGAAGTAGAAAAATGTTGGTCTTTTCAAAGCATGACGTGTCTGTATGGAAAAAAGCTCTCTTGGAACGTAACCCTGGGCCGTTTAGACCTCTGAGCCCATAAAATGAGCTCAATGACCTGTTTGTGTTTTTCTTTCCAACTTCTTTTAAAGCTCGAGTCAAAACAGTGGTTTCATTTTAATAAATATTTGCTTTTCTCTGTTTTGATCTTTTGCTATTAATGTTTTGTTTAATATTTTGTATGTGTGTATTATGGAATTTGCTCTCCCTAGCTGTCCCCTTCACTTCCCACTGACCTCTGTGGACAGATCATCTTTATTCTGGAACAGGTCATTACAAGCAGATGGGAGGTGTGTGTAATGAAATAGGCTGTCTTTCAGCTCTGAGATGTTTTCTGTGATTTAACTCCTGACATAAAAATAATGCTTTGCTGAGGTCAGATCCGATTTGGATGTATGTATGGGATGGAAAGTTAGGTAGGTCATCTCCCTTTGAGGTCATTTAATAAGCAGTGAATTTGGTAAGCGGTACAGGTGAATGCAGATGGATTCAGATCTCATTTCCAGCTGCAGAAAGAGTGTGTTTTGAGCTGTTTCCGGTGCTGTGTGGTGTTTCTTTTGATACAGGCTTCTTTCTGGAAAGAGCATTTTAAATGCTCTCCCAGTTGGGCAGTTGCTATAATTACTTTCCTCTTGTTTTGTTGCAGATATCAGGAAAAGATGCCCTAGAGAAGACAACACTCAAGTCACTTGGCCTGACTGGAGGCAGTGCCATCATCAGGTTGGGAGGAGCAAAGTTTGGGTTCTTTATTTTTCCTTTCAATTCTGGTGGTGAATTTGTTTTGTTTCAAATATCCCCCCCCCAAAAAAATCACAAAAAATTCAAAAAGACAAACATCACAGCACTCAGTAATTATTGCATTTGCCTGTTTATCTGAGCCCAGATGTGTTTCCCACAGCTGCAGATGCTGGCACTGACCAGTCATCTGCAGATTAAAGGGGCTTGTTTGCTTCTTCTATTTATTTATTTATTTCCCTATGAGTGAAACAGACAATTCAAAGTTAAAAGTGTCTCTGAGAGGACAGTCATCTACCACTTAATTCTTCCCGGCTTTGGATTTCAAGCATTAAACTCCCAGTCCCTGCGGTGCCTCCTGCTGACTGTTCGGGAGGGTGAGGTGGGGGACAGGGACAGCCTCTGTGATCTTCTGGCCAGTTCTTTGCAGTGGGTAGTTCCTGTTCTGTTTTTTTGCACAAACCCCCTACCTCCCACCCCTAAGTTCAGAGCAACTGGAGCTTGTTCTTTTTGAGTGTCTGGAAGAAGCAGATCATCATATTAGGAGTATATTTGAGTCTGTCTTTTTTTGTGTCATGGTCACATTGAGAATGGGGAGAGTAGTACTGTTAGGATAAATGATTTTGGTTTTATTCCCTTTGGTGTCTTTTTTAAGAGTTGTCATGAAGAAATGCAGTTCATCTGTTCGGGAGGAAGCTGTGGGTGCCACGGTGCAGTGTAATGAGCTGACAGTGAGGCCAGGCTCTATTGAAGGAGCAGTGGATGTGCCCCTACCTCAAGCAAACACATTCCTAGAGGACTTGGACCACGGGGATGTGGCCATGTCTTTAAACAGCTGCACAGACAAGCAAGACTCGATTAGAGAATCTCATGCCAGCTTGGAGGAGCTGTGGCCTTCCTCAGAGCCCAGGTCTACCCCATTTGTCCCTTTTTTTGGAGATGGACAGCGTCTGGGGGACTCTTCTGTAGCTGCACCATCTCTTGGGTTAGATATGCAATCTTCAAAGCTGCCAACAACTTTTTCAAGCCCTGGAGGTCCTTCTAAGCCAAAGAAGTCTAAGAACAGCCAAGAACTGCAAAAGGAACAAGAACAGGTAAGGGAAAATTGGCTTGCAATGAGGGCTTTTTTTATCCTGCCTTGCCAGAGGCCAAGCTCCTATGAGGAAGAAAGATGTTTCCATATTTAAAACTTTTTCACCATAATATAGGATTAGGTGCCTTGGTGACGTAGAGTTCTGCCAAGAGTTCAGTAAGGAAATAGTGCATTTTGAATGGCTTACTATAGGAAATATGAAGGATGGGTATTTTAAGAATTTGCTGTCCAGAGGCAAGCAAAGCTTTGAATGTTGAGATATTCTTGATGAATGGTTCTAATGGAGGTAATACCACTGTGTTAAAAGCATAGTCCAGAAGAGCCTCAAATTCCATGCAGATGTCATTAACAGATACCCACTCCTACTTTTAAAAATTGCCATCTACTGTGTAGTTTTGCTAAAGATGAGTAGAGCTTGGTCAGACTCGTCTTTTATAATACTCTAAAGGTGCTTACTGCTTGTTGTGACTGACTTATCTCCCAGATCACACAGAAGGTATAAGCTTGGTAGAGTTTTACATATGGAAAGGGATAACTTTTTCTTTAGCTTGTAGGACTGTCCTAGGACCAGGAGTGGTCTTAATAGGTTTGTTGCAACTTGATCCTATGACTTCCAAGATCTGAGAACATCATCAGAGTTTCTAATTTTTAGGTAGTAAGGTGTGCTAGATTTCTCATCTGAGCCTTTCTGTGGAACATGGAACTCCATAGTAAAGCTATTGTAAAAGCAGTATCCCATGCTGGTAGTTGTTAGCATCTGCTTCCTCAGGGTTCCTTCTGCCTGCGGTCACTCTGACTTACAGTGTAATTCTTTCAGTGACATTATGTGGTAGAATGTTAAGCGGTATAGATCTAGGAAAATATTTTTTCAGCTACAGTTGCAACTTACTTGCCAAGAGTTCTGTATCTGAAAGAAAAAAACACACCTGGGCTTCTCTTCCTTTCAGTCTAGTCCCATCCCTTCTGTGTCTTAATTCCATTAGTATTGCAAATGAAGCAGAAACTTTCCATCTTTTTCCTCCTCTATTTCTGCTTGCTTATAGAAGTGTTTTGTGTCTTGCTCTGAAATATCGTGTTTCTTAAATAAAGTGGATGTGTCTCTAACCCTTTTACTGGAAAGACAAATTGCACATCTGTCATCACTGTTGGCGTCTCTGACATAAAACGGTATTGGTTAAAATTAAAAATGCTTTAGCCCAAGTAGAGATGCCAGAAGTGATGGCTCAAGTACTGTGATGCTGTCACAGGATGCCCTTTGAATGATATTAAGTGTGCTTTCTGTAGGGCAGCTTTATGGAATTGAATGCTTTCATCAAGGTTGGATATGTCTGGCAAGTAGTGTAAAATGAAGTACAGAAGACATTAAATTCATAACCTCACATTATTGTGCATTTGGAGTTTCACATCCTGGATTCTCTGTGACTGGCTCTTTCCTTTGCCCCTTTGCTGTACACATCATCACTAGGGCTGGCTTAGTGTTTGGAGAATCCCCTTCATTGTTTCCCACTCTTTAATACCTCCTAGAGTTGGAGTTTTGTGTTTATTTCTGGTTTCGATTCAGCCATGGGATTAAACAATGGAAAGCCATAAGTAGAAAGAAAGGGTGCCTGGTGAGGTTCAAAGGGAGCTTGATCCAGGAGGAATTTAGCATGACTATACATTATGCTCTCACGTTGATGTAGAGGTTCTACCTTGGTTGGTTGTGGTTGCAATCCATTCTTGATGAGTTTCTGAATTGTTTAGGCACAGTAGCCAGACCCTGGAAGGACTCTGGAGCAGTTACAAATGTAGTAGAAAGAGGTCTTGCCAGCCCAGTGGTGAATATTTCAGTATATTAGAAACATGTTTGGGTTCATCTAATCAGTGTTATTTAACCTTTTTGGAACAGACCCTGATCATGGAGAGCTAAACAGTAGGCTGGGTGATTTGTCCAGTGTAATGAGACTGTGACTGAAGCAAGCAACACACCTCTGAGGGATTTGGAAAGGGGGAGTTTCAATTGTGTCTGAAAAGGAAGGAAGGAAGGAAGAAGTGCGAGGGTTTGTGGTGGTATTCTTCACCAATGCTGTTGTCCACACTTCTGTGTATGCTGGCTGGAGAGACAGAACTCATTTTATCATTTTACTGGCTACAGCTTCATGTGAAGTTGTGCTGTTGGGCACATTGCTGAACAGCGGTGGCCTAAGGACTCTCATCATCCGGAGTCTTTCTCAGAATTGCAGTCTAGTTCAAACCACTCAGAGGCACTTCTGGAGCCAGTTTCCCTTCCAGTTTGAGAGCAGCTTTGGAAGCAGCTGCAGATTCTGTTGGGGGGGTTCTGCCCTTGTGTTAAACAGCATGTGATTTTGACTGCCGCTTTCAAGCCCTTTGATCTCTGGTGCTTTTGCTGCTGATTGATTACATTTTGTTCCCTCCTCCATTCCTGCCATCCTCCGCTCTCCTTGCTCTCAGCAGCAACAGCAGAGCAGGGCTAGCCACATGGCATCTGCTTTTTGTCCCTTTTCAGTCCTGAGGAAAAAACCCAAAACAAAACAAATTATTTTTAAACATCAAAGGTCCATTTTTGTAAAAGAATCTTCCCATTAATGCTTTGCCTGTGTGTGGTTTTTGAAGCTGAAGAGAAAGGCTGGATAAAATCTGTGCCGGCGTCCCTTCGTTTCTTGGGCTAAAGATGGTTTACAGACAGCTGCATGCTGACTTTGATGTCAGAGCATTAATTATTAGAAGGTAACTTTACACCAGATTGCCCATGAGATTCGAGCTCCCTGAGGTGGTAGGGTGTGGAGGTAAGTCTCCAGGGGGGAGAGCTTGCTGCTGTGGAAAGCACAATAGTCACTTCTTAAAATGAAATAAAAGTTTTCCTCAGCTTGCCTGCTTGCTTAGGTCTGGGGTGGTGACCATAGGGTGAACTGCATTCTTCCTGACACATGGCTTTATCATGTAGACTGCAGTGATGCAGACTGCCTAGCAAACCCTGAGCAGACGTGAATAGATGGCTTCAGCCTACTGGTGAAAAGGGCCTAACATCTCAACTAAGGTAGTAGAGACTTTGAAGAATGAAGGTGACAAACCATAACACAGCATCTTTGGCTACTGAAAGGTATTGCTGACAGAAATATGACAGCAAAATGCACATCTTGCTTTCCTCCAGAGTTACATAATGTAAGGTAGAAACTGCTGTATGCTGGCCTTTTATTATAGGAGATGGTTACCTTTTGTCATGGTTGCAGAAAACAGTAATGTGTAGTGGATTGGGAAACAAGTTGGTATACCTGGTAGCCTCCTTTTTGTAAATTGCTGTGGGAAGGCAGTTTTCAGGTTCTGTCTGGGCTTTAGGATTGTTGGTGACACATTAAAATAAGGCTGTATTGAGGGTACTCCGAGTGAGACTTGCCTAATTGGGATACCCAAGTGAGCAAATGGCAATGGATGAAGGAAGAGGAACGGGATGATGGCTGGACTCTGGGGAAAGGGGGAATTAGTAGAGTAACAGGAATGGCTACCTTTTTCTCTCTGAAGAGTTTCTTGTGTCTGTAAGGAGGTGAGATGTATGGTTGATTTCACAGGGTGTTAAATACATGGCAGAAGAGATATTATGATATTATTATCATGTGGCAGTCTTTGCATCCTCAGAGGCAAAACGATGATGTCTTTTGGTTGCTAAGCAGTGCTTAGTAGACACCTTGTGCTGCCCTTCTCTAATCAGACCCTGTTGTGTGATTCTGGGATTGAGTTGCAGAAACTGAATCAAATGACCTGAATTATGTCTCACAAAAACTCACTTCTTGCAGTTGTCTCCAGGGGTCTCACTCTGTTATTGGGGGTTAGCTGGAAATTTAGTATTAGGAAATTCTTATTCTAATTATGTATTTTTGCAGTCGTTAGGCATGCACACATCTGCTTCTGTATAGAAAAGCATGTTTGTTCATGTTAAGTAGTAGCTAAGTAATGTGTCTTGGTTTGGAATTTAAGATATTCAGCACTAAATGTTGTCTGGGGAAACAGATAAAATTATAGATTTAGAAGCTAAAAGGTAGCTGTGTGTCTCTGTAGGGCCAGTACAGGTATTCTGCAGAAAATTAAATGGACGTCTTGGCTGGATGTAAGTTGGAGGTCAAGAACAGGGCATTTATGTCTGGGAAGTAGTGGATTTTCTGTCACAGCATGTAGGTAGTTCTGGGAGGTTGGGGAATGGCTCTAGAGGGGAGATTCCTGACTGCCCATTTGCAATACCTTGTTGGCAATGGAGACCCATTTGCTTGAAAGGTCTGGAAAGCAATGCTTGAATGTCAGTTCTAACATACAGTGGTCTGGAGCAGTGAACACACACACACACTGTGAGGAAGAGGGGTGATTACTTAGGACTGGGATATATGTCTGCCTTCTGCTAGCTTGTGATTTCTGATGTCTTGGCTGAGGTCTTTAGCTACTACCATGGTTTGGGCAGTGACTTATGCTTTCCCTGTGGAATCCTGCTACTGTTGGGATTAGCTAAAGTGCTTGCTAGAGCCAATACTAAATGGTAAGTTTAGATTTGCCAATGCAGACATTGGAATTTTCTCCATTGTATCCCAACACCCTTCACAATATGCCATAAGATATGCCTGCTCTGTCTTTTTTTTTTGAAGTCTCTTGTCAGTATGTGTGTGTTTAGAATGAAATGAAACTTAAGCTTTTTTGAGGAGATTGAGGTATACCTGATTATTGGGGAGGCCTGATTAATTCTCCTCTGGCCTTTGACATTGATTTGAGCTTATCAGACTAGCTGCAGGCAGCCGTTCGGACCTCTGTGCAACGGGCCCTTTCCCAGAGGGTGGCTCTGCATGCTCAGGATCGCTCCTGCAGCACTGGGCACTCCTCCCCCCCGCCCCGTGCCCCAGGAAAGCTGCAATCAGGCTCCTTCACCCGCTAGTTAGAGCTGACCCTGCTCAACTTTCTAAAAGTAGCCAAGGGTCCCACCCACACAACCTCGCTCTTTTAATTTCTCAAATTACCCTTTAGTGCCCACAAGCAGAATGAACATTGCCTTGTAATTTGTGTTGTCGCTTTTGACAATTGAGGGAGACTCCTTCTGTTCCCAAGGGGCCTGTGCTTAGGGGACAGGGGAATGGATGGAACAGATGGAGGGAAGACATTCAGGGATTAATTAGGATTGGAAAGAGCGTATGAGGGAATAAGGGGAGAAGGAATGGGCATCAGGTTTGTTCATAGAGCCTAGAGCTGTGTTAGGCTGGCAGCTGACTGTAAAATGCTATATTAACTATCCAAGTTCTTGTTGTGGGGCTCTTCAGTCATGGATTGCTTCCCCCCCTGCATCTCCTGTAGCCTGCAGTACATTATTCTGTTTGTTTTCAAGCTTTGTGCTTTTAAACATTACTGGGATTTTAAAAGTTTGAATTATTCAAGAGCCAATAGGTGTAACTGCCTCTTGTGTATTTGACTCCGGTAGTGGTTTATATTCACATACTGACACATCTGCTGCTTTTGAGGCAAGGGAAGGTAGCCAGTATCTAACCTATTCTAAATTGGGAGGGATACATAATGTCACTCTCTTTTCAGAGACAGCAAGTGCTGTTTGTCTAATAGGTTTGGAGGCGGGGCTTGGGGTTTTGGTTGGGTTTTGAGTGGGCTGTGAGTTTTGATATTTTTTTTTTTTTTTTTTTTTTTTTTTTTAATAAGTGCAACCACAGTTATCAGCCAGGACACAATTGTGCTGAAAGATTTGCCATCATGATACCCAACTCCCAGTTCTGGGCTCTGGAGGCAGAGGGAGCAGAGCAGCCAGGCTGCCTGTGCCCTGCTGTGCAGGTGAGAGGGGTATCTTGGCTGTCTGAGGTCTGTGTGCTACTTGAATGGCCTATCCTCAGTATCTGGGGTATAGGGAAAGGTGCCAATAAAGGTATTAAATACTTTTATTTCAGATAATGCATACAGTGAACCGCTCCCCTTGCATCTGTCTGCTTTGCAACAGATGGGCTTGGTTGCAAACAACCTGCAACAAAGGCTGATTTCAGTGCTAAGAACTTTGTCAGTGCAAAACAAAAAGGGATTTCACTAACGGAGCTTTCTGCGTACGAGAAGCAAGTTAAAAATTTGAATTGTGTGCAAAGAAACCCTTCAGTGGCTCAGTTCAGAGAACTCAACAGGACAAAAACTACCTTATGAAAACAAAGGATTGGGCTCTAGAGTAAGAAGAAATGGAGTAAGCCCTGGTTGGGAACTAGTGCTTCTGGTTCTGTGGCAAGAAAATTCTCAGAAAGGTTTTGAGAAACGAAAACAGAAGATATGATGCAAGCCAGGAGTGCATGGCAGATGAAAAGCTTTAAAGGGTTGTTTATAGTCTGTAGTATGAAGAATAGCACCTGTGTAAGTTGTATGCTGCCTGTAGAATGGTAAGAAAGTGATTACATACTGAGAGAGGTTTGCTGTATGTTGCAGAGAGGTAGATTAGTGTTTTGGGATAGGAGTGATTTCTGAGTACTTGTAACAAGCTTGTAACTAGCTAGAAGTATGGCTCAGCTGCAAAATATCATTGTGTTGTAAGTGAAGAGATTCCACAGGAAAGGGGTCATCTTTCCTTATGTTAGTTGACTGCTGAGGTTATTACCCTGGGCTTCCTATACTGACAGCGGAGAACAGCTAACTGCTAGGGTATGACTCAGTTAACAGTATAGATTCCTACTGCTTGTTGGGAGGAATTGTACCCCAAGCTCTACCAACTATATAGAATGACAACCTCTATTGTTAGTCTGATTTTAGTGACATGAATTCCACACTAGTGATTGTAGTGCAAATACTGTTCTTTTTTTCAGGAACCTTATAGCATTAGAAAAGCAATTCATTTAAGACTAATCAAAGCTCATTTTTATTCTGTAGCTTGTAGAACGAGAGCCACTGGTATGTCACCTAGACCTACTAGAACCACTTCCTGCTGGCCCAGAGGAGCTTCCTGATGCGTTTTTTGAAGTCACAGTGGATGATGTACGGAAACGTTTGGCACAGTTGCAGAGTGAGAGGCAAGTTCCCTTTCTGCTGGCGACTGAGATTGCTCCATATCCTTTGTTCAGCAGAGTGACACTATGCACCTATAGCTGGCTGTGATCTCTGAGTAAAGGGCTGTAGATAAGTTACGGGTTGTGTAAATAATGATCAGCACTGGAAATCTCTACCCTTTATGCCATTTGAGTTCAAGGGCTATGTCTTGTTTGTGTGACAGAACCTATGTTTTTCTGTGAATCGGTTGAGCATTTGTGTATGGGATAATGGTTTCATGTGGATGTTGAAAATTTCATCATGATGTGTCTGTGATGCTGATGTAGTGATAAATTTGCTTGACAACCTCAACCAAATCAGGGGTGGACCCTCACTGAGAAAGTATTAAGAGAAATTCCTTCCCATGTTCTGCATTTCAGGGAGTTATTCAAAGCCACTTAACACCCCATCTGTTTTTCTTTCTTTCCTAGCCTCCTTGTCACAACTGTGTTTTGCTGTCTCTCTGTTCCTTAAAGAAATTAATTTCATGAATGTGTTTAGTTTCAGGTGGATCATATAATTCCCTTAAACTTTACAAGCATTCTCCATGACTGTGGTACAACCTACTTTACACTGTAACCAAGTCTGAGTTGAACTTTTTACTTAGAGTTGACTTTTTTCCCCACAGGCCACTGAAATCCACATGAGTACACAGATTGGCCTGAAAATTACTCTGCTGCTTGTGGGTCTGGAGTACTTAGTGGTACAAATGTAGGATCATTTGGTTGGGGGTTACTGGAATACAACCCCCTCAGAAAAAGACCTAATTTCCAAATTTGCAGATGCTTGTAATTGCTTTTCCCCTCACAGTTAGGGATAAAAATAAAGGCAAGTTACACATGAAACTGATACCAGTTGGCTTCTGATCTCAGTTTGTGAATCTTAGCAAAAACTAGCTGCATATGATGCAATATTTGAAATGCAATTAGAATTTAATTCTGACTTTGCAAAGAGCTGAGAATTGGTATGAATCAGCAATTGGTACACAAGGAATGGAGTGGATTAGTTTCATGTTTGCTTTTCAGATTGTGAGTTGGCACTTTCAGAGCATCTTGGAAGGTGGTGTACCAGCTGACAGTTCTGGGTATAGTTGGTGAAGTAAGCCTGTAGGGGTTTGTTTGGGTGTTTTGGTTTTTTGTTTCTTTTGTTCAGCAGCTGTTCCTGAGATACCTTGATGATTCTTAAAAACAAAAAGAGGTCCTCCAAACTGTATAGGTGTAAGGTTAACTTGCAAATAGTTGTGCAGAATTATATGATTAAATATTTCACCAAAATCTAGCCTAGTAAGTCAGTTATTCAGAATTAAGTGCAAACAAGGGAAAGGGACTAAAGCTGAACATGGAATCTGTTGGATCTAAGCTTATTTCTTTACTTACAGGAAAATATATAATTGTTTTCTTGAATTTATTGTTTTGTCGTAAATACAGATAGATCTTTTTTTTTTGCACCCACTACTTCTTTTAAAAGACCAGTCTACAATGCCAGTTCTTGAATGATCTGAAACTTCTCTCTTTAGTTTCCCTGTTGCTAATTAATATCCATTGATTTCTTGTGCCAGCATTGTTTTTCAGCTTCAGTATCTCTTCTCCCTCCCTGGAGTAATCGTGTCCAACTTTAGTCTTTGTTTTATTGGATTCGTAGGTTCATCTCTTCCTGAGTAATCTAAGCAAACATTCACCTGCTCTTCTTAATATCTTTTCTGGCATCTACTGTGGTGAACTTATTTTTAAACTTGTACAAGAAAAGTAATTTTATACAGTATTGTTGCTGATGCTCAATAGTTTCATATATGACATTTTGGGGTAGGAACCATGAGAAGCAGGGAAATTGCTGTGGGAGATACGTGGAACAGTTGAGCAGTTCTCATCAGCCCTGCTTGGACTTTCTGTTTTATTAATAAAATAAAAATATATCTTAAAATTACAGAAGTGACAGCTTGTTTTCTTGCCATGTATCTAGGAAACGCCTGGAAGAAGCTCCACTGATGACAAAATCTTTGAGGGAGGCTCAGCTGAAGGAAAAGCTAGAGCGTTACCCAAAGGTAGCCTTTGTTCTTTTTCCAATCCCTCTGGCTAGTCCAGACTTCAGGGTTGAGTAACTTTGGGAATCAATTGTAATCAACAGGATCTTTTGAGCTACTTATAAGAAGACTTCAAATTCCTGTCCCTGTTAATTGTGGGACTTGCATAACAGTTGTACCATGTAGAATCAGCTGTCCTGTAATGGATACGGTTGAGTGGCAGGCAATATAGCTCCTTTTATTTTGTTCCACATGTTTCAAAACCCTTATGTTGTGCCCACATCAGTCTGTATGACTGAGCTTTCCTATCTGCCTCCTCTCTGAAGACTTACATTTTGACAGTATCTCATTACAAGTTAAATGGTAAGATGTTACAGATTGGAGATATCTTACTATGTAAATACAATCCTAATATAGCTTTTGTCTTTGATTTATTGCAAAAAAAATAAAGAGATTAAGTTCCCAAGTTAAGTGCTTTCTGACCAATGCTAGAAATAGAATGGTATGAGTTACTTCAGATGTATGGCAGGAGAATTCCTGCTGCGATGGACATTTCAGGATACTGATAGACTGTCTGTACCTGCCCATGGGTGACTTTCTACTTTGTGCATCCCTTAGCATAGGGAGCTCCTATTCTCTGAATAAGTGCTGCTGCATTGTACATCATGCTGTTTCTATCAATCAGCTCTGTTACAGCTTTTGAGAGCCAGACAGCCCATGTTCTCTGAGGAGCTGCACAGTAATTGTTAGTCAGTATGCTGTTCTTCTCCTGTACAATAAATATCTTAAATCTCCCTATTTAAAAGAAAAAACAAACTTGCTCACAAATTTTAAGCCAAGGACAGGTGTTACAGAACAGCCATAAACAACTGACCTAATGTGCTTTGCCTCTGACTTAGGTGGTGTTGAGAGTCCATTTTCCAGACCGTCATGTTCTACAGGGGTTCTTCTGTCCTAGTGAAACTGGTAAGACCAATCTCAGCTTCAGCTTGTGTAGCCCCAGCTAACCTCTCTCGTTATTGATTAGTTGCATGACAGGAGAGAGCAGCTCTGGACAGATCTTTCTGCTGCCCAGGGAAGTAATACTACTCTGAAAAAGCAGCAGTAGCTAGTCAGATTGTCTTTATTGGTCCCTTGAATGGGATGAGAAAAGAGTCTGGGGTAGTTAACTTAGTTAAGGGAAGTTTATTTCTAGGACTACTCGATAGAGACTGTCAGGCTACTTGATGGCAAAATATGTGTGCTCAGGAAACTGTCCCACTTGATATCCCATTGTTTGTGTCCAAACATGGACATGACTGCAGTGAGTTTGGATGCTTCCTCTATGTTAATGCTCAGAAAGTTTTGGGGAAAAAAACCACCACCACCCCCTTTCCCCCAGTCCAAACCAAACACAAACAAACAAACAAAACCAACAAAACACAGGAAGAAGCAGCTTTACCTACTGTAATAACAGTAACAGGGGATGAACGTTTCTGCCTCTCAGTTCACAAAAGGTAGTCAGTGTGCACCAAGTAGCTCTTAACTGTTGTTAACAGAGATCCTCTTATTCTCAGCCTCTGGTGATGGTTACCCACGCAAGTTTTTTGATACTTTTGTATGAAACAAGAACTAAAAACTAGTTACCAGAGTCTCACCTGGCTGGTCACTGCAAATCTTGCAGCTGCTATTGGATTTCCTAGGAAGAAGTTCACTGGCATCCTTAGATTTTGCTGAGGGACCAGCATGTCTAAGTGTGGTTTTTTTTTTTTTTTTTTTAGTTTTTTTTTTTTATTATTTGTTTGTTTTTTCTCCAAGATATTTGTAATAGTAACAGTGTTCTTTTGAGGAAAGGTCAATGGACAGGTGGTATAAAGGGCAGTTCTGCTGTTACAAGTTAACCCTTTGCCCATCATCTGAAGAAACAAATGTAATTCAGCAAACCTTTCTTTCCTTTTTTCACAGTTGGCATTTTGAGAGACTTTGTAAGAAGCCACCTTGCAGATGCAGACTTGCCATTTTACTTGTGTGAGTGTGCTGTTGGTAATATTTGGCCTCACTTTATGAAGGCTATTTCTAGTTGTGTTGCATATGGGATCTTGTGATGCCATGAGGTATAACCTGGGGAGGAATTCCTTCCTTAAATACAGCCTCAGAGTACAAAGGTGTAACCTCCTCACTTAGCTACATTAAGCTTCTGCCTAATAAGAAGTCTGTGTGGGCAATGTTAATGTGCCATTCCTTTAAAGAGCAGTAATCCCTCCCATACCTGCTGTATTTATTGTTTTGGTTGCTGGGTGGTCCTGTTTTGTAACTTGTTTTTTAACTTCAGTTATTGCACCTCCCAGAATCATCTTGAACGATGAAAGTTTGACACTCTTTGAGGTAAGGACTCACACGTGTGCTCTGTGATTCTCTCTGACTTGCTGCTCCGCTTCACCCCACCATATACTTTAGTTACTTTTAAAAGAAGCTGTATAATGTGATCCCTGTAGTCTTCTGCTTAGCCAAGACTAATGGAACCAGGTGTTTTGGAGCACAGGCTCTTCACCAGAAGAGGTCCACCTTGTGCAACAATATGCACTGGCGTATTGTGGCAGGGTTGGGGGGTTCACATTGTTTCATAGGTATACGCAGTGCCTTACAGAGTCTGAATGGTATTTAACCTTGAAACATTATTACAAGAGCTGAGCTGATGTGTGTCTGCTGTATCTGTAGTTGGACTAGTATAGTAGATGTGAAGCTGGATTTGGATAGATAACTATTTTAAATTTCTACAGCAGGAGCTAGAGGCCATATTAGACAAAAATCTGATCTTTTTGATAATCACTATGTGAGAATTTATTTTATTCCAGCTTGAACATTGAGGAATATTTACTCTATGTATAACTTTTCTCTAAGGCTGAAATTTAGTTTTTCAAATCCAGATTCCTGGAGGTTTTTTGCAAATGTCAAATAAGGTGATCTTGAAGTCTCTGGCCAGAGACTCTTAGCTGTGTAAATCACACACGTTAATGGACTGATCAAGTGATTTTGCTAGTGACTTTGCCCCGGACTCACCCTGTTTGAAATGTGCTGTCATTCAGAACTTCATGGGCATTTGTAGGGTGATGCACTGAAGATCACTTGCAGGGTAAAGGGTCAAGCATACTGCAGTGAGAGTTTTTCCTTGATGCACCTGAGGGAGTAGAAGGGGTGGGGCAGGGAGAGGGGTAGAGAAAAAGGGGCTTTTCAGGCAGCATGGTGAATTAGGTAGGGATTAGCATGCCTCTGAAGTTGTTTGTAATGGAGCTTCCCAAATTCCACAACTTCCTGACCAGGCCATGTGGAAGAGGTACACGTGCAGCTGCTTTTAGACTATTGAATGTTAGGAAAGCAAAGTGTGGGTCTCTGTTCACAGTGGGAAATCTCTCCCTTTCCTAATACCCTGTTAAGAATTCTTTGCTGAAATTTGAAGTTTTGGGAGTAGCTTTTTTGATCTTGGAGTTCCTTCTATTGTCACCGTGCCTGTGACAGGTTTAGCTTCCTATGGAGTCCTGAGCCTCTTGGGGATCTCAGCCCTGCTTGGTTCTGTGGTTCAGGAATTGCTATGCAGTAGCTCTTGACCTCCACCCAGCTTCACAGCCTGTTTCCTGCTCTGCTTGACCGTGGCCTGTGTTAGAATGTGCAGTGTGCATGGCTGTGCTTCTCCCACCAACAGGAATGGGATGATGTATTGGTAAGACATAATGTCATTGTGGGTGGGGAGAACAATGATTTTTCTTTTCAAAGCCACTTTGTATATTTTAATTGATAATTAAAATACTAGTGGAAAACGCTTTGTTTCTTTGAGCCAGGAGATTTTACCATTTGAGCATGAAGGCAGTTCTCCCAGCTTCCTCTGACTTGTGCCATCTCACCCACATCTGCCACGCAAAACACTGTCTCAAGGCACACATGGTAACCATGATGGGAAATGCAAAAGACGAACCTTGTCTTCATATTTCTGAGAAATCTCATGAAGGGGAAACTGGCTATGGTTGCATTGCTAATAATATATTTGGAAAACATTCAGAGCAACAGCAGATAATAAAAATTGTTCTGCACTTGTTAGCAGTTCTGAGACAAGGGAAGCAGCCGTAGAGCTCTGACTAGTACAGACTGGTCTGACATGGCATATGCATGCTATTCTCAGACTTTCTCTGTCTTTTTTTTTTTTTTTGTTGTTGTTCTAGGCTGTCATGTCTGAGCACATCCCTCACCTAGAGCTCCTTTACACACATTTTTCTAACATGCTGTTTGGAAAGCTTTTTTCATTGTTCTAAAGCATGATCTCTCTTCAGCTCTAACCAACAGTTCTCCATAATATGGGTGATTTTCGTCTGTTGTGAAGATTTGGCTGGGACGTGTTCCCAGATTTCCTGTCTCAGTCTTCAGACTTGTGTCCTTACAAAGTATATTGCATAGTTTTCAGTGTCTCTGTAGGAAGTGATATTCTCCACCGCCTTGTATGCCACGTTTTCCTCTAGAATCTCACGGACCTCAAGCTTTGGCACTATTTATTTTTTTATTTAAGATCAACTTTTTGTTTGTTTGTTTCATTAAGTACCTCCTAGATGCTGAAGACTCAAAGTCTGCCCCTGTAATGAACCTTTTTTCCTATTTTCAGTTCATTTTCTATTGGATGTTTTGTTGCTCCTTCGAATTCAAGGTACTTACCTTTCTGACGCTGCTTTCTTCTGTTTTCTGTCACTGTTAGAAAATATCCTGTCTGCTTATGTGCCTGTCCTTACCACCTTGAAATCTCCTGTGACCATCATCTTCCTGTTTTTCAGTTAGCTTCTAAATCCTTTGCATACCATACTCATTCCACAAAGAAAAGGAGGTTTCTCTGCCTTGTCAGTAAACTTGAATGTGGCATCCTCTTTGACCTGTATCTGCCTCCTATTCATCCAACCTCTGATGCTGTCTCCATTGTTAGCTATAGTCTATGCTCTACATAAAGTTAAAAATCCTCTGCTTATCCATATTTACCCCTTCCTTTCCCCCCTGCAGTACTGTTTTTTTATTTTATCTTTTTCAGCATACATCTAATGATTCTTTGGATGTCTTCTGAAACATAGCTTGTTCAGTGAAACACCACAGAAATAATTACATCTCCCTGTCTTTGAATCAGAAACTTTATGGCAGAAATTTTGTTTAATTTGCTGTGTTAAAGCCTTTGTTCCATACCTGGCACCATTACTTGTGCTTGTTACATGTGTGGCAATTTCCCAGTTTCCTAGTTGTGACATTTACTGTGGAATTCATTCCTCGCGGCAGCTCCCTGAAACATAAAGATGTGTTAAATTAGTGCTCTTCAAAGACTTTGAGGTGCCTTACAGCCCGGTCTTTTAGACTACTTTCTAAAGTGCAACTTGGGGAAGTACCTGGTCAATTTTAGTGTCAAGCATCTTCAATTTGTAGTGGCTTTCCTGAGACTGAAGTGCTTGCTGTATCACATGGCAAAGGTGCAAATCCTTGGTGTTAGTACAGGACTGTGGCTGTTCATAGAATCCCATCACAGACTGGTTTGGGTTGGAAGGGACCTTAAAGACCGTCTAGTTCCAACCCCCTGCCCCGGGCAGGGCCCCCTTCCCCCAGCCCAGGGGGCTCCCAGCCCCATCCAACCTGGCCTTGAACCCTTCCAGGGAGGGGGCAGCCACAGCTGCTCTGGGCACCCTGGGCCAGTGTCTCACCCCCCGCACAGGGAAGGATTTCTGCCTTAGATGTGATCTAAATCTGCTCTCTTCCAGTTTAAAACCATCACCCCATATCCTATCCCCACACCCCCTGACCCAGAGTCCCTCCCCACCTCTCCTGTCCCCCCTTTAAGCCCTGGGAGGCCACTCTCAGGTCTCCCTGGAGCCTTCTCTTCTCCAGGCTGAATCCCCCCAACTCTCTCAGCCTGGTCTCATAGGAGAGGTTCAAGATATGGTGCTCAAAAGCTGAAAATTGTCCTGCAAATTGACTGTTTTAAGGGAAGATTTTTCTCATTTTTCACTTCCTCTATTTCACCACAAAAGAACAACAACATCCAATTAAGATAAAGGGTGGCAAATCCAAAATTGATTTAAGACATTTTTTTTTTTTCATGCAACATGTAATCACAGTGTAGTCTAATTAAACTGTAATTAGAAAGTGGTTATGTTGGGAATTTGGGCATAATTAAAGAAAAATAGATTTTTAAGGTATACAGAATCATTACAATTATTCACAAAATGTGGAAAGCAGGTAAAATCTCACACTTAAAAATATTTTTTAGGGATTGTGACATGACATTATGAAGAGATTATTACCATGTTACTTAACTGTTGCATGACTTGGCATTTTCTTAACCAGCTGGCTCAATGTAGGTAAGTGTAGTGATGCACATTCAGGGAAAAATAATTTGAACTTCGTATGCATCTCAGTGAGCTCTTGGGTTGATTGTTACTGCTCTGGAGCAAAGTCTTAAGGTGATGAAATCATCAGCTCATTACTGAATAGTAGCCAAAACCTAAACAACCGCCTTCCCAAGCCCCAAAGTATTCAGAACAAAGTAGATGACAACATAAAGAACATCACTGTATGAAACCAGGGTTTGCTTGCATCTTGAATAATGTATGCTGACCTGGTCTTTCATCTTAAAAAGGAATTGGTAAAGATGCAGAGAAGGGGAATAAGGATCATCTGAGGTCTGGAATGGCTCCTGCATAAAGAAAGACTAAGTATGCTGAGACTTGTCAGTCTGCAAAACATATCAAGGAGAAGCTGGAAGGGGTTGATTTCTTACTCTCTCTGGTACAAGAGCGAGTGGCATCAAACAAGGCGAGCAGGAGCTAGAATAGATGGAAAAAGGTAGTTGCTCATGCAACAGAACACTGAAGTGTGAAATTCCTTATCACAGGGTGCTGTATACTAAAAGTATATACTGATTCAAGAGAGATTTGGACAAGTTCAAGGAAAATACCAACTGAGAGTCTCTTCAAATATATAGAAACCATCTCAGGAAGCTTCTGAGCTGAAAATCACTGCTAGCTAATAATATTAATAGAAAGTATCACGTACAAGCAATGAGAAGGATACTTTTCTCTGTGCCTGTGTGTTCTTATTCACTGTTATAGACAGGATACTGGCTGGACTGAATAGACTTTTGGTCTGCATACAGTTGTTCTTACATCCTTGTGAATTGCTGAACTGACCAGTCTACCTTGGCAGCATACCTGACCCAACAGCAATTCCTATATTGACTCAACTACCCTATAGATTGAATGATAGTGGACTAATATACAAAAATTTCATGTATAGCGGAGGATTTAAACTGGTATATATGACTTTTTTCTTTGAATATCTTGGAATAATTAAGCCTTTGTAACTTTACTGCC